TTTATGCTATACTAATTGGTATAACACAAACAAAAGTAGATTAATAAAATTTTGAATGTAAGTCACTAAAACCTTGTACCATGAGCAACAAAGGATGCTCATGGCAAGAGGGTTAATGGGATATCCCATCATGAAAAATGGATTCCATTAAATTGGACTCAATGGGATTCCATTTAAAATTGTTTAAATGTTTAAACCCACTGAATGGGATCTCATTAAACTAGACCTTATGGGATTCAATGGAAATTTTCTCCTGGGCCTTACAGTATCCTGTTTTACTTAGTTTTAGTTCAGCTTTTCTATTAACTTAGTAAAATAAATAATTGTATAATTTTGAAAAAGTTTGTTTGTAATTAAGCACAAAGCTACACAATGGGCTGTCTGTGCACTGCCCACCACGGGTATTGAAACCCAATTTCTTGCGTTGCAAGTCAGCTGACACACCACTGTGCAACTGGGGGGAAATTTTGAAAAAGAATGCAATATGAGTTTTGACTGACAACAAACTGTCAATTAAAATTCCGTTAACAAGAACATTGACAAAACCGACAAGCAAGTGTCAACTGTCAATTCAGGGTTTGAGCTCATAACTGGTGCATTTATTTTAAATTTTAGACAGAAAGCAAATGATAAAATTCTTTATTTGTTCTGGTGAAATCTAATCAAGCAATTTAGAGCAAGTTATATGGGATGCAACTTTTTAACTGATTATAACAGTTTCTTGCCAGCTTGAATACTGAATACAAGAATTATGTGTAAATAAAGGTAGTACCTTACTTCTGAAAACACAGTAAAATTTGCAATAGAAAAATGAAGTATATTATCATTGCTGACCTCTCCTGTAACATAAGATATGGCAGTACAAAAACAAATTTTTATCATACATATTTTAACAAACAGTAATTAGAGACCATGATTTTTACTAGGTTGATAATCTCACAGGGTCACTGAAGTAGTGTACAGCTAAACTTGGAAGGACTGAGACAAAATCAAGTTATCAACAACCATTACAGACATTATTTGTACTTTCTCAAATAACCATGTTTTTTCCCATAGTTTGAGAACTACTCATACTAAAGATAAAGATTAAAATATAAAAATATAGTATTACATATCCCACATTCTCCAAGAAGTACGTTATATGTGTCACACACATACTTCCATAGCCTATCTGTTCTACTCTATGACTTTATTTATAATAGAAACTATTTGATGTTCTAATAATATTTGTCTAAAAAGTCTCAGTATTACCACCCACTAAGAACAGAAATTTCAACAACAAAAAATTAACACAACCTGGACAATGACATTAACTTCCTAAGCAAGGATTAATATTTGTCTAGATCCTCACACATAGTAAAAAATCTGACTCCATACATTAATTTCCTAAATAAAAATTAAAAACTATCTGAATGCTCATATTTCTCACGTGTAGTGACCTAAAATTAAAATAAGTATTAAAAACAATTTGAATCTTCACATTTCTTTGCACATGGTAAAAACAATCTGGATACTTCTATTAATTTCTTAAACCGGAATTAAAAAATTTGGACACTCACATAAAACCAAAGTAAGATTCTATGACAGTTTAATACAATTACATTCTTCATGTAAGATTAGTTATCCTGATATATTATTGAATATAATAAAATAGTTTAGTTACAAATCTTTTATGAGCACAGAAAAAATAACATTCAATTGCAGCTTTTGACATCAACTGAGTTTAAGGATATTTCTTAATACGTAACATACTTATTATTTACATGTAGTTGTATTTAATTTATTCTGCATATGTGTGAATAATAACTGCATAAAAGCTTCCCTAGTTGTGTCACATACATAAGTGAGTATGTGTACACAGTATTGAAGTGTACACAAGTAAGATGATCACCACATTTCAATTTTACAAAACTGTGATAGCTTATGACTTTAAGAAGACATTTATTGTAACAGAAAGGACAAAGACATATAACAAAAGTTCTCCATTGGATAAGTTCAGTTCTTTATTAGTATCAGGTTTACCAGGCCTAAAATCCTTGTAATCTCCAGAGAGCTGAAGTGTTCAGTCTAGTAAGCAATCACTGATCCAAGCTACTGGTGTTTAAATCATAATGTATATTGTTCATAAAGAAACACCATGATCCTACAAAAAAGTTCAACGAGACTGTACAAAGTCATAATTTCTTGTTAAATTAAAAAATTGCTTTACTTACATCTTTTTTCTCCTTGTTCCTGTCAATATCCTTCTTGATTTGATCCAAAAGTCTGAAGGATTCTTTATTGTTTATAGCATAAACCAAGGCAAACCCCTGAAAGCATAATATCTTTTAAAGTGAAAAAGCATGAGACAACTTTCTGAGAGATTTTTATAATCATATTCATGTAGTATATATATTTAACACATTGAATGCCACAATGTATAATATATCATCATCATTATGGTGCCAAATACACTATGAACATTTCCACCTAACCCAGCTTTACACAAATGTCATGGATGAAAAGGTTAGGTTTTATGATCTCATTGAGGTACTTCTATACTGTGTGACCAACTAGTGGGTTTGCAGCACTAAATGAAAAATCCATTATGAGTATGCCAAGTGACCAATCACTGGCATGCACTGTAACTCATCAATTATTTCTATTTGTAATTACTGCAGCCTAAACTGTTGTTTCCTTTGTTTTCAGAACAATTTCTATGCAAACCAGTATATACATCAACTAGAAAATTTTATGTACCATCCAAAGTAAATGAAGGTTCATCAGAAAGTGATCAGGCACCTTCTCCCATTGTAAGCTTCGATGAATATAAACCTTCAGATTCCAATGACACTGTCTCAGCTACATCAGATATCACTCATACAGCTAATACAATGCATAGCATAAGCAGTTGTTCTGATGACATCAATGAAAATGTGCCAGTGACGTCAAATGTATGGCATACAGTAAATAAAACACATTGGGAAATCTTCCAATTTACTGGCACAACAGGAATATGTGTCTTGCAATCAAATGTAACAAAACCAATTGATATATTCAACCTGATGGTGATGGATAAGATTTATAATCTCTTGGTTGATCAGACAAACCTTACTATCCAAAGGGTAATAATGAACAAGCAGGTATATCAAACATCCCAGCTGAACAATTGGAGACACATGAATGTTATGGAAATGATGAACTTTTTAGGAATTGTTATGTACATGGGGGTTGTGAAATACCCCAAGACTGCACTGTACTGGAGCAAAAAATAAATTTTACATGAATGATTTTGTCCCCAGCATCATGGAACGAAACTGCTTTAAATTATTATCATACTTGATCACTTTGTTGATAATCAGGAAACTGCTTGAAGTTCTGGAGAAAAATTTCCCAGGTGGGCTGATAGCTATTGATGAAACTATGGTGTTGTTGCATGGTTGTCTCACATTCTGGCAATATAATCCAGGAAAAGTGCACAAATATTGTCTGAAAGTATATATTTTGTGTGATTCAAGCAGTTACACATACGCTAGCTATGCTTATGCTGGAAAAGAGGATTCTGGACAATGAGGCACACCAACTGATGGAGTGACAAGATACATACTTCTCAAATCATATTAGACCTCACAGAAATATAATATGATTGTTACACACAATTTCTATACATTCATCTCCTTGGTCATAGCCTTGCTTGATCACCAAATGCACCTTGTAGGGACACTCCACAAAAACAGGGCAGATAACTTAAAGGATGTAACAATGTCAAAGCTGAAAAAAGGGTTCATCTTTGGTCAGGAAGAAATTGATGGCATAGTTGCAGCAAAATAGAGAGACAAATATGATGTGCTGGTATTTTCCACCAAGCATGACTTGAATTTCATGAGTACTGGAAAGGAAAATTGTAACCACGAAGACATCCTGAAGCCAGAAATGGTTCTGTACAATAATTCCAGAAAGTAAGGCATTGATATTTCCAATCAAATGGCTAGCTACTTCACACCCCTTAGAAAAAGTATTTGATGATACCATAAAGTTGCATTCGAATTTCTGTTGAATACAGCAGTCACGCACTGATCATTTATAAGGAAATTCATGAAAATTATGAACAGACAATCTATTATGAAAGAACTATGCCAAGAATTAGATGGATTTCAAGCACAGTGGTCTGTTTCAGTGAGCAAACACACTTTGGAGGCCTACAAAAGCAAGAATGGCACCAACAGGAAAAACACAAAAAAGTACTCAAGATGTTATGCATAATGGCAGAAAAGTGATTGTCAACAAGGGGCGATGAAGAGGGCCAAGAAGGTCTCTACTTATTGTGGAAAATGCAAAGGAAATCCTGCCTGCTGTTTGGAGTGTATAATTCACACAACTAATACTGTAAATGTTCATAAAAAAAATTTTATGAGGTTATCTTGCCTATTTTATATGTAAAATAAATGTTTATGTTCAATTGCTTTCATTTCCCAAATTTTCTATGTTCCACCAAATACATGCAATATCAACATGAATTAGATATAAAAGCATGCATTTACAAAATGCCAGATCATCCTTAGCTTTAGTGCCATTGAGAAATAATGCATCAAAAATACAGAATACTGTGACTCTCCAATGGGTCACACAGTATATTACTAATAAGATGCTGTGACCCTCAGGTGGGTCATACAGCAACCAATGTGGTATGAATTCAAGATAGAAAAACTTTTTTAAAAAACATATCACAGTTATGAATAAAATAAGTTTAAAAATAATTTGGAAATTTCTAATTTTAAAAACCTGAGTATTCACTAGAGAGACAATGACTGTATTTTAGAATTCAGTTATCATATAATATGGATTAACATATAAAAACTTTATTCAGCTTATACATCATGCTATTGATTTTCAGAAGCTCTAGTTTCAGAAAACTGCAGAACTTTGAATGCATCAAAAGGCCCAGCAGTCAATCTAACACAATATTACAGAAAACCATTAAAGGGACAAAGAATAGAGGACATCTATGGAAGAAATGGATCTGTAACATAAATGAATGGATAGGCCTGAATCATCACCAATTCATCAAAGTTGAAGAACACTAAGTGAGGTGGAAGAACATCACAGAGTGATACCCTGATAACAAAGCTGGTTAAAAAATGAGTGACTGACTGATATAATATTTTCATCAAAATATGTGAAAATAGCTACAGATTTGCATACCAAAAAAAAAGGGTTTTAATAAGTTATAAGAAGTTCTGAACTTGATAACTGACAATGATAAAGATTTAACATAAACATGATAATGCTTACATCAGCAGCTGTTAGGTAGGCTCTCGGCACTTCACAATGGGCTGGTTTCTGTTAAAGGAAATGTACACTTTTTATATATATTTCAAGAAAGTGTTATGATTTAGAATAAGTTTAAATATTCTATCCAAAACCATTATTTTGTAGTCTTACAGACAACAGCACTCAATCTTTGTTTCAGATTCAGAAAAATGAACTGTATTCCAAAATTAGAATACCTATACACATAAGCAGCCAAATTTTTAAGCCATTTCAACTTGGCCCTCTGTTTTGACTTAAAAATATACTTATATTTTAAACAAATAAAATGTCCATTTCTAATATATATTTCCTGTACATTTTTTCTTCCAAACAATTCATACGAATAAAACAACCATTCAACCCATACAATGATGTCAATGATGATCAACAGTTAGCACAAACACAATTGATAATCATAAGACACTGAGTACTCTCAAAGTTCTCATTAACAACATTTCTTTTATTGTGTATATATATATATATATATGTGTGTTTTTTCTTGATAATCAACAACTTTTCAAAGTTATTAGCCCACACAACTTCCTTATTCTAACAAAATATTATAATTATCTTAACTAATACCAAAATGGCAGTATATAATTAAATACAAGCCTACCATCCCAGCAGTATCATAGAAACGAATTTTTTCCTTTCCACCTCTGTCATTGTCAATGATGGCACAGTACACATCTTCAATGGTAGGATAAACAGGCTATAAATAGTTGAAAGTTTTATTCAACATCTACTGTATTTTCTGACTCAATAGAGAGCTTGATGCCAAGTTACAAGAACAGAAGATGCTAGATCTTAATTAAAACATCTTTAAGATAAAAAAAAACTTTTCTTCTTCTATTGGTAAAGCCAAATTAACAACAACAAAAAAGTGGTTCAGTCTGACTGGTCTCAATAGAAACACACACTGATTTAGAAAAATATATCAAAAACTAATAAATATTCTTAAAGCTAAACACAGCCAACTACTTAAAATAAACCTAACAAGTTAACAAACATGAGTTACTGGCTTATTTCTGGCTCACTATATATTTTTTTCCCCCCAGATTACTTTATTATTGGTCACACTTGAACATAAGTTACTTACGTTTCCTAAACTCAGGTTACCATAAATAAGCTGTTCTATTATAGATGTTTTGCCACAACCTTCATAACCACATACAATCACTTTACTTGTCTTTCCTGAGGGTACAGATCTTAACATGCTCTTCTGGAATTATTAAGAAATTAAACAGATGACTCCAAATACATTTCATACCATAAAAATAAAGTTTTTAAACATTTTATGTATTCATATCAATTGCCTTTTTCTCTCTGAAATAAGTTAATTAATACATCCTTAGTGCATAAAACTTCATTTTTATTTTACATTTTCAAACTTTTGTGATACTTTTACAGAATGAATTACATTTCTTTGTGTATAAATACTTTATTTCAAACACTGTTTGAAATAAACTTTCTAAACTTTAATTGTTTGAAGTAAAACCTAGATCATCAACTCAAGATTCATATAACAGGCATTCTGATAAGTTTTCTTATTATAACTGATATAACTTCAAGTTTTGTGTATAGGCATAGAGACATTTCTACAAACAAAATTAATATATATGTGTGTATGTATATATATATATATATATATATATATATATACACACACACAC